ATTCTCCAGCAACCTTAACAAATGGTTATCTGGCGCATTAAAGTCTGAGATTCCAAGGGAGAGTCTGATTCAAAGTTTGTTTACAACTCTAAGGTCAGAGGACATGGTTACTCATCATCAGCCAATCAGGAACTGGTAGGGCAGGTTAACCCCACATGGGTCTCTGATACCCGTGAAACTTTTAACCAATGAACGACCGGCAGTTCCTCCAGGTAAAAACAGGCTACAGAGAGCACCTGCAGAACAGTTCCCAGGAGCAGGACAATGCTTGCAGAGCACCTGCTGGACATTCAGCCTCAGGGCTCCTCCTGAACATCCTCAGACTCAGCCCGGACCACCACATAACGGCCAGTGTGTCTGAGTACAGGACTTTTCTTTTGTTCTAAGAGTCGAGCATGGAGGTTGCCAGTGCGTAACTAAAAGATCCACCAGAGGTTAGCATCAGCAGCAAGCCTCGTGAACAGGTCGGAACTGTGGACGGCTGAATCAGTATTCAGGCCTAGCGCTTCATCAGAAACGAACCGGTCTTCTTCCTGACCTGCTGAGACATGCAGTCACTTTTCTCCTGTGCACAAACTTTGCTAGTTTTAGCCAACACTAACTAGCTGGTCTTCAGAGAACATTGGCAGCAGGAATCTCTTCCATCACGTCGCACGCCGCGAACAGCACTGCTTGGCACCGACCCAGAGAGCGCCGATGGGACAGCAACAAGCCTGCCACTGTTCTTTGTGTCTGCAGGAGATCTTAATCCCCACAGATTGGATGAGTATTCAACTTTCTGCATTATCACTCGAGAATTCAATTGTTACCGCAACCTGAGTTGATATCAATGTAATTCCTATGAGTGATGTACTTGCTTTTGAGTATCTAGTGCGGAAGTTGTAACCAAGTTCATTTACGAAACGGTCTAAATGAATGATATACTGAACATATGTCCCTCTTGGTATTTGTAACTCTTCGTGACTGAATATATACCTGTTGTATTCTGCTAACCCTCACAATAAGATCCGTTATGTTTATATGCACATTTAATGTATTAATAAATGTATTTCGTGTATTAGCACCCGTGTGTGTGCGTTGTTTGAGTTATCCCGCAAGGTTGGATTCTAATAGCCATCAGAAGAATCATTTTTGTGACTTGCTGCTACAATTAATAATTGTCCCAGTTAAGTACAACCCTACATTTACTGGTGCCTCGTGAGAGGATACCTACACAGGTAAGATACAGTTGTGAGAAAAAGTTTGTGAATCCTTTGGAATTATTTGGATTTCTGCATGAATGGCTCCTAAAATGTGGTCTGATCTTCATCTAAGTAATAATAATAAACTTATTTAACAAAAACACACACAACATTTTACATTGTCATATCTTTATTGAGCAAATGGTTCAAACAATCAATGTCATTAAGTGAAAAAGTATGTGAACCTCTAGGATAATGACATCTTGATAAGAAGGTAATTGGAGTCAGGTATTTCAATCAATTCAGGTGTGGGTTTGACCTGCCCTTCCTGATCAAAAATCACACAATTTTGGTTACCTGCTCTTCAATAGTATTCTGTTTAATTGCAATATGGCCCGATAAAAAGAGATTTCAGAGAGCCTCAGAAGTAGAGTTCTTGAAGCTAATAAAACTGGAAAGTGTTAGAAAGGGAATTCTCAAGATTTGGGCATCCATCAGTCCAAAGTTTACAAATAGATAGTTTACAAATGGAAGTAATTCAGCACCGTTGCTACTCTCCCTAGGATTAGGCGTCCTACAAAGATCAGTGCAAGGGCATGCCGTATAATCCTAAAACATTTGACAAAGAAACCTAGGGTAAAAGCCAAGGATCTGCAGGCATCTCTTGCACTTGAATATCTGTGTTCATGAGTCTACCATATGAAAAGCACTGAACAAGAGAGGTTACCATGGAGGAAACTACTGCTCTCCAAAAAAAACATTGCTGCCTTTCTCAAGTTTGCTAAAGACCAACTGGATGTTCCACAGCACTGCTGGAACAATGTTCTGTGGACAGATGAGACAGAAGTTGAACTTTTTGGTAAATTTACACAGCATTATGTTTGGAGAAAACAAAACACTGCATACCAACACCAAAACCTCATAACAAACTGTGAGCATGGTGGAGGGAGTATAATGGTGTGGGACTGCATTGCTGCCTCAGGGTCTGGATGGCTTGCAATCATTGTGAGACAAATTGATTCCAAGTTGTATCAGGAAATTCTATAGCAGAATGTTAGCGCATCTGTCTGTGATCTAAAACTCAATAGAAGTTGGGTGACATGACAATGATCCAAAACACAGGCATACATCGACAACAGAGTGACTGAAACAGAAGAAATTTTGTATTTAAAATGGCCAAGTCAGAGTCCTGACCTCAGTTCCATTGAAATGCCGTGGCGTGATCTGTAGCAGGCCATTCAAGCAAGACATCCCAAAAATATACATGAACAATTTTTGTATAGAGGAATTGGCCAAACTATCTACTAACCGTTGTGCAGGTCTGATCAGCAGCTACAGAAAGTGTTTGGTTATTGGTTATTGGCTAAAAAGGAGGTTCCACTAGTTACTAAATACAAGGGTTCTCATACTTTTTCCATTACTGACCTATTTGTTTAAACCATTTGTTAAATAAAGATATGGCTATGTAAAATGGTGTGTGTGTTGTTTGCTAAATAAGACTTTTTATTTATTATTACGACTTAACAATAGATGAAGATCATATCACATTATAGGAGCCATTTGTGCAGAAATCTATAAAATTCCTAAGGATTCACACATTTTGCCTCACAAATGTATTAACCAAAAATCAGCAAAGGTGTAGATTTAGCATCTTTAGCATATCCAGAGGTGGACTGTGGACTGTTTGAGTTTGGTTTTCTACCATATTGAATCAGATGTCATTCCAGAGTTACATAATTTGCATATAACTACTTAGGAATAAGTAATGGTTTATTCCATGCTGAAAAAAAAGAAGAAAAGAAACACAACATTTTGGGTGTGGAGCCTTCTTTGGGTCCTCTTCACACAGTTAAGTTTTAAAGCTCTTTCAAAATTTTAACACTAATGCTTATTGGACACATATAGTTATACATATAGCATAACTAGACTAGGTACGAAATGAACCCTTATGTATCTACATGGACATAGTACAGTATCCGTCTACCCATTTTCTAGCCCCTTCATACAATTCAGGGTCACTAGGGAGCTGAAGCCTATCCTGGCAAGCAGCAGGTGCAAGGCAGAATACAGGATGCCAGTCCATCACAAGAAACATGCAGATGGCACAGAAACGCACACCAGGGCAAATCTTCCCAGAAGCCAATTAACCTACCTGTATGTCTTTGAACTGTGGGTGAAAAACTGACGGAAACCCAACAGGGAGAACATACAAAATCCATGCAGATAGCACTGCAGATCTTGAATTGAACTCAGGACTCAGTAGAGTAATAAAGCATACAAAGGTAACAGGCTTTACCTTTACTGAGATCCTATACTGAACTACATTGAGCAAAACCCATCATCATTTAATTTTAATGTTAATTTGACGTATTTACAGTGACTAATGTGATTACATTTTTTTGGGCAACTGCCACAACTAAAATTTCACACCACACCGTAGTCATAAAATATTGCAAATTAATGTTGAATTACTAATTATGAACCATTTAATTGACAACTAGAATAAATTCATTGTGTTTACTATTTTGTAACATCTAAGAAAAACAATGTTTCTGCAACATTTCAAACAAAGTGAGAATGTATGTCATAAGCACTTGTTAACAGATGTGCTGTGAATATGCTTGTGTTGAATGTAACTTCCTGATTGAATCATTGCATGATTTCTGGGTTGATTTGTGGCTTTTGGCTCAAAACGTATATTTACACTGTATTTTTCCACTTGTGAATTAAATAACTTACAATATTATTTTTGTGGCCTATGCATATTCATAAAAGCTTGTCTTTTTTCTGCAACAACAACTCAAAATCACTATGAGGTAGGAATTCATAAATGAGAGGATCAAAATGATTGTTGGTGGGTTCACAAATACATAAAAGCTAAACAGCCAACTATTAGGACAACAATTAAGAAGATTAAAACTAAAATAATATAGCTCTTTGGCCATGTACACCAGGAGTGGTATTGGCATTGAAAAAATGATGCAAAAAATTATACGATATGGTATGGTATGGTGGTGGATGTTTAATGTTATGGGGATGTTTTGATACCACTGGTCCTGAAGGCCTTATTAAGGTCCCAAGTATTATGAACCCTAACCTAATCATGAACCAGAACATTTTAGCCAAAACCTGTTTGCCTTTGTCAAGAAGCTTCAACGTGGCTGCAAGTGGTTTTCCCAGCAAGACAATAACTCCAAGCACACGTCAAAATCCACAAAGAAATGATATTGACCACAAAACCAACACTTTGCAATGGTCATTTCAGTCTCTGGAATTGAACACCATTTAAAATCTGTGATTGGAATTGAAGAGGGCAGTCCATAAGCACAGTCTAGAGGATATCAAGGAGCTGGAAAAATTCTGTATGGAGGAGTAGAATAAGATCCTTCCCACTGTGTTTTCCAATATCATCAAACATTATAGAAAATGGCTGTGCTGTTATCCTTGCAAGGGGATGATGCACAAAGTACTGAAAGAGAGGTGCTAATAATTGTGGCACTTAATTTTTCAAAAATTATTTTAGAATTTAAGAAATGAATTATTTTTGTAGATTCCATTGAATCAATTATTGATCATTATAATTTTGTTACCAATGCAATTTTGTTACCAATGCTCATTACCAATGCAATTTTATTATAAAAAAGGCTGTATCTTTATCAAGGATTTCAATCAGTTTGAGGGTGATTGAAATGAATGAAAAGTAAGTTAAATAAATGGAAGATCTTACAAGTTAAAAAAGGAAATTAGTACAAGTTATGAGTTTTTATTAATTAAAAATCATAAGAATATTTTGTGATGCCACGTATGACAGCTCAACCAGGGACACTGATCCAGGCTGGCTCACACCAAGACAGTTTCACAATAACATTAAGCATGTATAGACATTGCAGATACAGAGCGGTGTAGATGAAATACAAGATACAAAGTTAGGATGTGTTTTATACTTCCATAGAAAAAGAGAAAAATATCATCGTTATTTTACATTTTTCTACTCTTTCTCAGTTTTTGCTGATATTAACTTATTTTACCTGTTAAAATCTGAAATTTCAGAATTTCAAGTTTTTAATAAAATAATTGTTGTAATTTCACAATATGGAAGTGTCTGATTTCTTTTGCAAAGCACAGTATATATATCTTTTGAGAAATCATGTAGGGAATCATTCATTTAGAACAGCTGGGGCAAAAGTGGTTTCGTTGTCTTCATTCCTCATGATCTTCATTTAATAACTTCCATTTTGTAAGGTAAGGTCTTGTGATTATGGAACCCGAATTCCTGCAAACTTCAAACAACAGGATGAACCGGAAGAAAATCTTTGTATCTACAGCTGTATTTTATATATCCAATCCAAAAACTCTGTGACACGCACATACACACTTGGGCGGTGTGGTCGAGCACAGCCAGATCCAAAAGACGTCACACCAGCTAGCATCCATCCGGTCTTGTCCTGGCACATGAGAGGACCTCCTGAGTCACCCTGTGAAAGACAACATGCAACTTGGGTATCACAGTATTTATTTATTTAATTAGATTGTAGGGAGGAAAAAAAATAGACAGAATATTATTTGCACAACAAGCATAAGTAAAATAAGAATAGTACATAATGTTGATACTGTATAGCAACTGAGGAAATGCATACTGGCTTTACTAGTCTCACTGAATGTATCTCCTATCCTGCTATCCAGTCAGCTAAATGCTTATCCAAATAATTCTTGGAAAAATCAAGCTGATATCTCATTCAATTAATTTTTTTGAATAGAAAATGTGGAACAGCAAAATGTAAACAACATGACCATTTATAAATAATTTGATCATTACAAATTTCCCGACAATAATAATAATAACTGAGTCACTAACCCTAACTACCTAGGCAATTCAGTAGTCACTATTCTATGTGATGGTAATACATGCTGAAAATAATTTACTTTCATCCTAAAAAAAACAAAATAATGTCTTTCATAAAATGATATAAAGTATTATAATATTGTAGCGGCAAGGCTTATTAAAATACAGGAATTAAGTTTGCTGCTCCCTTACCAGTCTCTCTTTCCCTGATCTCAGTGGTGCTTGATAAAGAGAGGCCATTCCATTTGGTTCACAATTAAGGTGTTTTTCTAGCTGATAGAGTGTCCTGATAAGGAACAGCTCCCAAGGCTGAGACACATCAACCACCATAACAAATGGTCATCTCTGGTGCCTTAAAGTCTGGGATTCTGGGAGAGTCTTATCCCAAGTTGTTTACAAGGTCAGAGTGCATTGTTACTCATCATCAGCCAATCAGGAACTGGTAGGGGAGGTTAACCCCACGTGGGTCTCGAATACCCATGAAACTTTCAACCAATGAACAATCTTGGTTCCTCCAGGTAAAACAGGCAGCGCAGGGCTTCCTTAGCGCGCCTCCAGGACATTCTCGACTCAGCTCCTCCTGGACATCCTCAAACTCAGACCGGACAACCACGTAACGGCCAGTGTGTCCCAGTGCCAGGACTTTACTTTTGTAGCGGCGAGGCTTATTAATAAGAAAGAATTAAGTGTTCTGAGCTTTCCCAAATGGTCCCATCTCTGTTCATCTCTGTGGTGCAGCCACAGAGAAACTATTCATGCAGGCTGATTTAAGGTTTCCTTTGATAAGGGACAGCTCCCAAAGAGGGATGCACTTAGCTAAGCCTGGCTATCATGATCAATGGTCATCCATTGGCACCTATCTGTCTAGGGAGTGCCAGATGGACATCTGGACTGCATTCCTAAGTGTCAGGAGTAAGTGACTCATATCTCACCTTGATCAACCAATCAGGGACTGGTAGGGCCGAGTAACCCACGTGGGACTCTGATGCCCATGGAACTTTCAGCCAATCAACGAGCTGAAGTTCCTCCAGGTAAAAACAGGCAACACAGAGAGCTTGAGAGATTCAGGAGGATTCAGTAGAATTCTGTGGACTATTCTAAAGGGAATTCAAAGGAGAATTCCAGGGCAGGATGGCCCAGGAACAGAAGGCTCCCAAGGGCAGGACATTCTCGCAGCGCGCCTCCTGACCATCCTGAGACTCAGCCCGGACAACCACGGAACGGCCAGTGTGTCTGAGTGCCAGAACTTTCCTTTGTTCTAAGAGTCTAGAGCGGAGGTTGCCAGAGAGTAACCAGAGGATCCACCCAAGGTTAGCACCAGCAGCAGGCCTCGTGAACAGGTCAGAACTGTGGACAGCTGAATCAATATTCAGAACTAGCTCTTCATCAGGAACGAACCGGACTTCTTCCTGACTTGCTGGGACCCACAGACATCTTTTCTCCTGTGCGCAAACTTTGCTAGTTAAAGCCAACACTAACTAGCCGGTCAGTGAGCATCTGCAGCGCACCGTCACAAGCCGCACAGCATAGCCTGGCACCCAGCCAAAGAGCGCGGATTGGACAGTAACAGCCTGCAACTGTTTCTTTGTGCCCGCAGGAAATCTGAGTCCCCAGAGATTGGATGAGTATTCAACTTCAACGCATTACAGCTCGAGAATTCAATTGCTATCCCAACCAGTTGATATCAATTTAATTCCTAAGAGTTATGTACTTGTTTTGAGTATCTAATGTAGAAGTTATAACCAAGTTCATTTACGAAACGGTCTTAATGAATGATATACTGAACGTATGTCCTCTTGATATATGTAACTCTTTGTAACTTATTGAATATATACTTTTTGTATTCTGATAACCCTCTCGATAAGATCTGTTAGGTTTATATGCATATTCTATGTATTAATAAATGTATCCTCATGTATAAGTACCTGTGTGTGTGCGTTGTTTGAGTTATATCGAATGGTTGGATTCTAAAGGCATCAAAAGAACCAATTTTGTGATTTACTGCTACAATTATTAATTGTCCCAGTAAATGCCCAAACCTTACAGAACTGGTGCCTTCAGAGAGCACACTACACTTTGTTCTAAGAGTCGAGAACGGAGGTTGCCAGCGCGTAACTAAAGGATCCACCAGAGGTTAGCTCTCGTGAACCCACTGTGAACGCTCACCTGATCAACAAGTGAACTACGGTCGGAACCGTGGACAGCTGAATATAAGTATTCAGAACTAGCGCTACATCAGGAACGAACCGGTCTTCTTCCTGTCTAAAGAGTGTGACCTGCTTGGACCCGCAGTCACTTTTCTCCTGTTCACAAACTTTGCTAGTTTCTGCCAACACTAACTAGCTGGTCTTCAGAGAGCATCAGCAGCATATCGCAGCAGAGATCTCTCCCAACAAGTTGCAAGCCGCAACAGCACTCCCTGGCACCGAGCCAGAGAGCACCGATTGAACACAACAACAAGCCTGCCACTGTTCTTTGTGTCTGCAGGAGATCTGAATCCACACAGATTGGATGAGTATTCAACATTCTGCATTACCGCTCAAGAATTCGATTGTTACCTCAACACCAGTTGATATCAATTTAATTCCTATGAGTGATGTACTTGCTTTTGAGTATCTAGTGTAGA